TTTACCTTGCTTGCTATACACTTGCCACACTTGCTATACACATTCCAAAATTCGGAATATTCGAAATCGGTATGTTAAATTAGAGGCCAGGGCCGGAATTCATTCATTCATATTAAAACCCCACATCCACTTTTGTCGCATTATGATTCGTCATGCTGTTTAAAAATATTGGTGGAATGTTATACTGTACTCTACACTACAGCATTGCACATACGGTACAAAGATTAACTATTTCTACGCAGGGAACAAGCTTAATGATTACAAGGGGAATACGAAAACCATTCGACTAAAGAGGAATTTAGTACAGTTTTTGGAGGATGAACTCAAAATTGTTGCCTAATCTCTTCGACGGTAACTAACGTCAACAGAAAAGAAAACAAGGAATCTTCACATGAATTTCAAGACGGCAAGAAACTTTAGCGACCCGAGACCTTCCGCGTGTCAAGAAAATAAATTGTTGCTCACCTGTGCGCAGTACGAGGAGTCCGAAAACCAGTCGGAAAATCATCCTGAGAAACGATTATTTTCCCTGCCGATTGCAGAAGAACCCGAAACGTCACTTAGTTTGAAAGCAAGGACAATTTCTTACAAACTGCGAAATACTACACTCATTTTTTCCAAGCTCAGAATTCCAAACAGGGCGCGCGATGCGTCACGGATGCTCTATCCGTCTGCGAGTACAAAGTGGAACAAAGAACCGTTTGTGAGTCACATATACACACGCAGCATCTGAAGTGGGCCCAATAAACGCGAACACCGTCAGAATGAAGAGCAGTAAAATTTGCTAGCTTCCTCGAAACGGAGTTCGTTTGGAGGGACCTAGTCTCTCCGAACGATCATCAGCGTTTTCGGTTTGCTCAGGCAGTGCTACTTTTCAACTGAGCTTCCCGCCTTCACGATCCAGGTAAGCGTGTAATGGTAAAACACTACGCGCCGTCATCGTGCAACATGATGCTGACTTTCTGTGTTGGTGACGTATAAGCATAGCAGGACAGCACCCAAATTCTGCATATTCTTTCCATCCTTTTTTAGAATATTTCTACCCCGAAAAATTGAACAGGGTTAATTTTTTTTACAGGGGGCTTTTATCCAATCCAGATTACTCTCTTCCGTCTGATTTTTTCTACTAAGAATGCTCTAATACGCCAGTTGTAAAAAAACCTAAGTCCCTCAAAAAGACAACGACCTAGAAGTACAAAAAGCAACGGGCAATGAGGAAAGAATTTAATTCAGAGCTTCGTAAAAAATGTCCTCGTTTTACAGCCAACAGGTGTGAAAAAGCGGAGAACTCTGAATAAGTTCTCTAGTTTATATTTTTTCTGAACGAATTTTAGAAGGATTGTCTCCGGAAATTTAATTGTACGATTCCTAAAGAAATTACAGTATTTGATGATCGAGTAGGCAGTCCTTAGGCAGAATATAAATTTTACCATTTTGTCAAAGCCAACAAAATCGGTAGCACTTGGAAGAGATCCAAATCATTTAAATTAAAAGGATCCGGAATTTCTGAAATTGAAATATTTCAGCTCTCCAATAGGTAATTTATGAATGGTTGTAATAAGCTTTTTCTGAAGAAGTCCAGAATATCCCATGCTTCCAAGTGTTCAGAAGCAGGAATTTTCGTCGTACAGTTTATTTCCAGTTTTCCCAAGCAGCACAGGAGTTTCATCCTAAGATTTATACCGTAATACTGTCCTGTATCGGATTGTAAAGAACCAATGAAAGTAACAATTGCTAATGAAGTACTTCAGAACACATAATCGCTTGCGATTTAAACTAGAAAAACAAAGCGACCACATGCAAATGTTTCCAGAGTGACTTTCAAAGTTCATTCAATCTTTCAGTCTCGGTCAAGCTTCCCTGGAATAAGTAGGCTTATCACGTTTGCCTTTTCTCACATGTAGGCAATCGCTCAGTTTTTTGAAGAAAAAATCACTATACGACAGGAAATGTAATTTTTTCTCCAGGTCGACCGACTCTGAGTGGGGTCACATGTTTACAGCATCATAGAAGCCATGCCCATTGAAAATTCCTCAATCTTTAGCGCAATTCAGGATATAAAACGTGTTTCATATAAAAATGATTATTTTCACTTCGTTATACAGGACAGCAAATACACATGTCTCGACAAAGAGTTTCGAATTGTCGTAGTTGGAAGATTGACATTATTTTATTATTTCAAAGGGTAGCTTCGAATTGTGCAGTGCAAACACACAAGATTTAGATTAATACATTACTGTATTCAGAACTGCGGAGCAATCTTCATCAACTCTGTCGCGGGAAATTTCACGCAAACCACCACGACACGAGCATTTTCAATTGAATAAGGCTGAACCTTCGCAACAACATGATTTTAACATACAATATTCCATAAACCCTTGTGTTCGGCTGAATTTTCTCACTTCGAGAGCTGTGCCTGAGCACAATTATATTTGACAGCAAATGCCTTCAGTGACTTTACTTTTGAGGCGAGCTTCAAGTCGACTGAGCAGGAAGAATTTCATCTAAAATCAGCACGTTCACATCACTGAAAGCCAAGGAAGGATCTCCAAATTAATACTGTGGCTTCATTTATTTCTGAATCACGTGGAAGTTCTAACATTTGTGACGAGAAAGTGGATACTAACTATTCCGTAGTCTTCCTACGTTCTCTTCAAGGGAGGGTTCAGTGTTAAAACTTTTAGCGCTTCGCACAGAATGTCGTCATTGTCGTGACGCCGGGCTCGGTGTGCTGAGTTTTTCTCGGTCCTTAGGTCACTTCCGTTTTATTCTCAATATCCGTTGTCACTCGATAATCATTTCAATGAACTGCCTACTTCGTGCTTACTCAGCAGCAACTTCGGGATGCCTATCGGAGCTAGAAATACTTGTACTTCGCGAGCTATCCATCACTCTTTCGGCGGTGTTCGCCTCGCGAAGTGCAAGAAGCGAATGGCAGTCCTGCAGCTGCGCGGACGCTCTGAACCGGCGGCGGGCGACGCTTCGTTGATTCCGCGGCGGAATCGCGAACTCTTGCGCATGGTTTTCCCAGCAGTGGACCCTGGTCATGCTCTGGGGAAACCCTCGCCGACGACCCGATGCTTTAACTGAACAACGTAAAGCATTCGACTTTCGAAAGATCCATCATCCCACCTCATGAAATATAAAACCTGGAGTACCTTGCACTTTCAAGGTGGAATTACTGCGCTGAGGTGCATCGGTTTATCGACATATGAGTGGGAAGTCCTTTCGATTGGGTGACGGAAAGCTCACACGATGTTACGCCATATTGATTGGCTAACCATACCAGAACCCTTTTTAGTGTTAAAAAGTATCCTGCTGATTGTTTGATGTAGAAGCTTAATTATTTGTCTCAGTTGTTAGTGTTCTACTGAAAACTCATGGTAATCTGTGTAAGACGGTTTTTTATTATGTCCATGTCATCATGGGAAGTTAAGTTTGTATTAGGTAACGAACCTGATCCCAGTTTAAAGGTTTGCCAGTTTAAAATTTCTGTAACATTTTAAATCTAAGATCCGCACAAAAATACTAGAAAAGCAAGTGAAGCAGATCAAATTGCCGGAAAGAGGTCAAATTGTAAGTAAACCTCCTGGAAAATTTGACCATGGAATTGTGGGATGGAAAAATTGCAACATACCACCTGTAAAATACTTATATTTATTTATAGAATATAGGTGTTACTGCATAAACGCAAAGCATAACATGTCAAAAATCAGGGGAAATAGTTAAAAACAATACGTAGCTCAAAAAGATCACCATATTTTCGAGCATTTGTTCATTTTAAAAATATGTCGCAAAAGCTAGATTTCATATTGAAACGCCTTTTTTTTACAGAAAAATTTTCATGTTATCTATATTGTATTCTATATTATCTGAATCGCGGTGAACCATATTCGAGGCAAACATTGGCCACGTACAGCGTAAGTATATGCAGCAAAATGTCAAAAAATGTGAGACATCCATTCTCCAGGTCAGCATTTTAATGTGAAGAATTGGTATTCTCTGCATGTATTTTACTTATTCTGGTTCGAGCGATAAAGACGTTCCACAAACTGTACATCACTTCCATCCGGGCTTTGAAACTCGGTTATAGCTTCCATTAGACACATTCTGCCAAAAAATAATACAGGTACAGTAGTACCCTTCAATTCAAACATAATCCATTGCTTGGACTAGGGTCAAATTTCCAAACGGTCAAATTTTAAAGACATTGTAAAATTTAGGAAGATCAGCACAAAAATACTAGAAAAGCAAGTGAAGACGATCAAATTGCCGGAAAGAGGTCAAATTGTGAGTTAACCTCCTGGAAAATTTGACCATGGAATTGTGGGATGGAAAAATTGCAACATACCACCCGTAAAATACTTATATTTATTTATAGAATATAGGTGTTACTGCATAAACGCAAGGCATAACATGTCAAAAATCAGGGGAAATAAGTTAAAAACAATACGTAGCTCAAAAAGATCACCATATTTTCGAGCATTTGTTCATTTTAAAAATATGTCGCAAAAGCTAGATTTCATATTGAAACGCCTTTTTTTACAGAAAAATGTTCATGTTATCTATATTGTATTCTATATTATCTGAATCGCGGTGAACCATATTCGAGGCAAACATTGGCCACGTACAGCGTAAGTATATGCAGCAAAATGTCAAAAAATGTGAGACGTCCATTCTCTTCCAGTCGTAAAATTACACTTCTTAACCATAAGAGACGTACATAAAATGAATAAGACCAAGCTCGCTATTTCTGCAAGGTGTTTGACATGTAGTGAAGGTAGGCCCGAAACTTTGAGCCAATATCGACCCGCATGCGAGTACAGTATACGCATAGGCCATAGAATGCTTCAGCGAGCTCCTTTTCCTATTGCACCTGGTTCCGGGTGCTTCGTCAGAGACAAACAAGACGCGAATTTCTCCGAAGGAGAAGCATTATTTCATCACTTTCCCCAGTTCTGCATATCAGTCATGGGCACTGAAGCAGTAGCAATACTACTTCATAGTACGTGGCGGCTCAAAGACCACTTCACTGTGCGCTTCATTCCATGGTATTCCACGCGACCTCGTATGACAGAATCAGACAATGGATTATCTTTAAAGTTTTCAGCGTTGATCGTCACCTGAAGGATAATATCGCATATACAAAATTACCTCAGCTCAAATTATATAACGTATTTATACCATCCATAAATGTTCCCTCAAAATTAAGCATGAAAAAAAGGATCACGCACCATACTCAAGTATACTTTCTTTCTGCAATACTTTCAAGATACAGTATTTTGTGCACGTCCAGCTTCAGGAACATCGAGTCAAGTCTTAACAAATTAATTTCGCGAACTAGTATGAGTAAAAATTTGAATTCAGGCTCAAATCGAACTGTTTAATCTTTAATGCATCAGATGTGAGGGGAAAAAACTTAGCTCAATGGATTCAAGTTTCATTAGTCTAAATTTAAAATTTGAATTCAGCGTTTATTACCATAAATACATTGGTTTTTTTAAGAAACCCAAGTTGTGCGTATTATATGAAGACGCGTGATGATACAGTATCTCGAGCAAATACGGTAAGTCGGAAGGTTATGTACAGTATTTGAAAGTGTCATTGGGAACAGAATTTGACAGCATCAGTCGATTGTATTCCATGTTTCAAGTTACAGAATCAAATTATGTACTGTTTTATGCATAGGGTATCTCAACATATATGATTATCATACTGGACATAGTACGATGCATCCATAGACATCCTTTAAAAAAAACCAACAGGAGTTTCGAAGGATTATTAAACATGAATAGGTGTACAAATCAGAATTTTGAAAAATTGAAGAATGGAGATCCGCTGAATTTCTTAGTTGATCACAGAAATTGAAACAAGTCATGAAGCCCTTCAAGCTTTACAGGTTCAAAACATGAATTACAATTATAAGTGACGTTTTGAAGGTTCTTTATTTCTATCGAAGCTCCCAAAATCGGGGGTTCAGCCAAAAGTTCAATACAGCTTTCCAGGCATGATTCCAAATGATTTCTCTAAGATTCAGTTACATTTTGAGTTTGATAATTCATCGTTCCATGAGTTATGTTTTCCGAAAGCACTTCAGCGAAAAGACGATCGTGTGGAGGAGGAGATGGAAGAAGTGCTTCCGCATAAGCCACATCCGTTGATCCATTGGGATCGTTCAAGGAAACTTGTGAAACTCCCGGAGAGTCGCATTTTCGCAGACTTAGATCCTCATATTTTTGTTCCAGCGTGTCGAGGATTTTATTCATTGTGAAACGCAGGAGTCCCAGGTCCTGAGCGCAAGACATTCGTGTCATTCCATCGGGTGACGCTCGTGGTTCTGCGGGAATTTCCGGTGCTCCGTCTACGGCACCGCAACCGGGTTTGCGTTCCAGTTGTCTGACAAGATTCTGTTTGACCGCGATTTCCTTTCTTAGCGCCTGTATGGTGTCCAGTTCTTGCTTTCTCAGGAAATCCGCATTCACGCAGTGCTCGAGTCGTTGCGAGGCTGATTCCGGGGCTTGGTAAAACATGCTGGGCGCTGGGTCGAAGTTCATATGGTCTTGCTGATGGTGTTGTTGGGAGAACTCATGCTTAGCCTTGATATTTGCGACTTCCTTGTTTAGCTCATTGGCCATCTTGACCACCATTTCGTCTCGGCTGTGGGCCATTTTGGCGAGAGTCATTTGCTTGCAGCCGCGAATCAGGTCTTCGGCGTCATTCGACACCAGGCAGACTGCCTTATTGAAATTTGGCTGATTGATTCCTTCCAAGACATCACACATTATGTGCTTGTCCGACATCCCGCTGTGGAAATATGATCATCGAATATTATTCGAAGGAATCATCAGTACGCAATCGTATCAAGAGGAACTTTCTGAAAACCCCCCAGTAGGTTTACGAATTCCACCATTTGCAGTCAAAATTAGAGGTTCATTTTCAGTGCTCAGATAATGAGTTTTCACTTTAAGGAGGTTGCTTCAATTCTTCAAAAAATGATACAAGCTTCACAAAAATTGCATCATAGGCATTTGCAATTTATTACATCTTACCATGTATTACCCTATATTAATTCAAGAGCTCTCGTCATTAAATGAATGCAAAACATAAATACCGCTTATGTTTAAAAAAATATATATATCGCATTAAAAGCAATACTGTTCCGTCAAATTACTTGTACCACTATATAAATAATGAGTTTGCGCTTCCTCAAACAACTAGTACAAAAAGATTCTATCGCCGAACGCCATATATTTTTTAATTTAATGATTTTTGTCAGGTCTTGGTTTCAGTATCTTCCATTCAGGATGAAAGCATAGTAACACAGGTTTCTAAAATAAATGGGAAAAATAAAAACTGCCGCACCACGTTATTTTGTAGAGCGGTGTTTTCACTGACCTCACAGATCTGGCTTCCTTTTCAAATAAGTTTGGTCACTTATTGGAAATTTTAAATTCCTTCCGATATGAGAACTAATGCAATTTGAGAATTTTGAAAAAACCACACCGCTGAGGATCGTCGTCTTTTGTTTTGTTTTTATCCCGCGGATGATTTATAAAATCGTAGATGACTTTTGAAATTGTATCTCCTCCTTTAAGAGAGAGGCCATCACCTTCGGGAGAACTCCAAATATATTCCAGCATCCATTCAAATTCAAACTAAAAATATTACATTTCTAGCGCTTGATCTAAAAGAAGAGGATTTGTAGACGTTCACAAAATGTTGGGAATTTGAATAAATTTGATGGGGTTAGCATCAATTCTTCAAATAAGAAGTTAATTTAGGTATGAATTCGTGGTTACTTAAAGTTGCCTAGCTTATGCTGTCACTAAAAATTCATGAATGACCCGCTTTGTGTTTTGGCAAGTCATTGTCAATATTTCAAAATTCATCAGACGAAAAATTATGGCAATAGGACCTTGTTGACAAATATAGCCTTAAGTTTTTCACGCCGCAGATTTCAGCTGGGAATCTCTACAGAAATATTTCACACTTCAGAACTGAAGAAATTCATCCAATTAATGTTGTTTTCATCTGCGAAGCTGAAGTTTTGATCATGTGACCCTCCCGAAGAATTTAAAATTATTTATTTACTGTCGTAATAGCTAGCGTTCTTTTTGTATATGCGCAATTTTGCATCAAGCGGCTTCCATTTCCTATGAAGTAGCACGAGATCATGAAAGCTAGCTTCTTCCCTGACTTAAAATTACAGTGTGCAGTAGTAGGACTACATTTGAGATTCATACCTCACACCGGGCAATCCGGAAGTCCTTGCCCTGTCAAAGATTTCGCACAAATCCTCAAGAACAGTCCATCCTCTCATCAACGTCGAATAAATTGTAGAAATTCCTGGCTCGCGTTCCAAGAGCGGGAGAACCGCGGACTGAGAGGTCGGATCAGATTGTGTTGTAGTGGTGCCGACGAACTCCTCTTGTCCAAGTACTCCAGACATGGGACTGGAAAAGAGGTACTTTTTCTTGCACGCGTCAAGGCAGTCGGTGTTTCCTCCGGTGAACGTAACTCGCCCATTGGATGGATCTACAGAGACACAGAGCTTCACACAAGCCTCGAGTCTGTCTCTGGGTGGGAATACTTCGGCCGTTTGCTGATTTCCTGCAAAGAGTCAAACACGGGATTGGTTTATAGTTTGAATTCTTTTGGGGGAAAAATAATCTGACAGGATTTTATTTTTATTTTCGCCGCATCATTAAATCAATGTCAAGTCAACGAAAATACTGTACCGATTTTCTCCCACACGTACATCATTCATCCCTGCATGGGAGCAAAGCGTACATCCAGAAGCAGTGAACTCTCATTTCAATGTGTGTCAGAACTCAGGACAGAGATTCAGGTGAGGTAAACATATATAGCAGCATATCACTGTCATGAAAATGACAAAAAATAATAGCGAGCCCTTGATGAATTTCATCCTCTGGCACTCCTGGCCAGAGAAATTAGATCACGGCTCTTTTTCCCTTTTTATTGGTGCACACACCTCACGGAGTAGACACGCTTAGACATTAAAACTGATTTAGAGAAATTACACTATCTAAGTTGAACTTTGACGTCATAATCACAGTGGTATACGTTTTAAGCAGTCACATTCAGAAGGAGATATTAGAGGATATGCTGGGGCCAACGTAAGGACCTTTATCTCCAACTCGGTGAAAAATCCATCACGCATTTTTCCACGAGGTCCGAGCAAAAATTAATTGCAGTACGTAATCCTGTGCGTCACGTACTTCGTATGGAATTACTTCGAGAATTCTTGATTTTTTTCGGCAAGCAAGATCAAAAGGAAAAAGCCGAAGCAAAACCTGGAATGTTATACTATGATCTGCGCAAAATTATTCTGCGAAATTTCATGCAGATTCGCTGACACTATGCATTCCAGCTTCTTGTTGAAGCACTGGATCACTGCATTATTTTCTCAAATCGAATAATCTAAATACAGAAGTTTAATATATATGATTCTGTACTGCAGTACTTTTATTAGTGTTTTAAATAAGGAAATGAACAAATGGGCTCACCTTGACATTCTACTCCGCGCACGAAACTCTGAGGCAACACGAAGGTAAGCATGATAATCCCAAACGACATTTTATTTCGAGGAAAGCAAATTGATTCTATTGCCTCAAATCTTCCAGAACGGCCGAAATGGTTATCGTCCTGGATTTTGAGAAATGCCTGCTCAAATACGTAATCTCAAAATCATTTGATGAATGTTCTCAAGTCGAATGAATAACATCTGAACGCGAATATAGAAAAATACACATATTGACATAAGAAAGCACGGCTTTTCAGCTCGGATGGCTTCTTGATAATAAAAAGCATCGCTGCTGTAAGAAAAATTCTCTTGGCGATGAATTTTCTCAGAGGAACGCAAAGTTTCAAACTTTCCTAGATGCGAAAAGACATCCTAAAAGTATGTAACGGGAATTATGTCGAACGAGACAAACTGAAAAATTAATTCCATATTCCTTTTATACTGTTTTCTTTACACTTGCAAACCATCAAAAATTCTTCTAAGACTTTATTCAAGCATTCATACTGCAAATCAGTTGAATGCTTTGCTCACAATTATCACAAAATAACTGCATCAACACCCAGAAACATGTAAAGTAATCGACAACACAATTTAGGCCGACAAAAAAGTGAGTATCCTAGGAAAATTCTGCTGGCAGCCAAATTTTTTAACTGTGTTATCTTTTTGTTTGAGGTACACTCGCTTTGATCCGGTTGCACTTTCCAAACAACCGCAACAAATTGTCGGAATTTCGACTCGATTATGCGTGAACTCGACTCCACGAAATCCGCTATCCCAGGTGCCACTGTACGCGCAAGATGACTTGAGAAGCGATTTTTTGGGATCACCATACCATGCCAACGATTCAAATCGTCGGTGTGGCGAGGACTGGTACCAAAGGGTTCCATTCCATTTTCCATGTTCGGCAGTTGCTGTTGTGCTAACACGGCTAATTCCTCCGGATTGTTTACTCGCGTGCCACTGTCTGGGCGATTGGCGCCAAGTTTATGCCATTTTTAACATTGTGAGGCGTGAGAGGATTGACTTCACGCTGCCAGTTTGGCGGAGTTTCTTTATCGTGCATCCTATTGGCAAGCATGTTTTCCGTTGGCAAACGATTAACATTCGTCCGAATTTTTCTTCGCCAACTTTAATACGATCGTCGAGCAGAGTGTTTGAATTTATATAGCCGAAAGCGTAAATATATGGATTAGTTCGAGAGTACTCAAATTAAAATGCTCAGCGGTTTTTGCTTCGCCTGATTTAAATGAACTTGGTGAGATGAACATTCCGAAGTTCTGGGGGATTTGGTTCAACTTTTGACAAAATACGTACTGCTTTTCCAAAAGTTGCCATCAATTATTGTTCTTAGAAAATTCAAGAGTATGCTTAAAATAATAAAATGAGAGTTGCATATCAGGAAGGCATATAAATCATACCCGAAATATATTTTGGTCTTTGCATGCATAGCTGGAATGAAAGGTATAGTTCATGCGTAAAAATCTAGCCGAATCATTTGATAAAGACTCCGAAAAGTCATAATTGTGCATTCAAGGAAGGCTAAATACGTTTTGAAAATTTACATGCGTATAAGCTAGAACAAAAATCTCCCATATGCTTTTCATTTAGCACTCGACAGCATGATGAGATGTAACTGATAACTTTCGATTACTGTACTTGGAATAAGTAACTGAAACTGCGAACTCAATCACCTGCAACATAGACCGTGGAAGGTAACACTTTCGTGGGTTTTGAATAATGTGTACAGTACAGTACTAAAGAATCGGTCTGCTACTCCGCTAATCGTTGTTTTTCCATGACGATTTCCGGGTTCGGTCTGCTCATTTGGACGATATTTTTAGCTTCGTAAGCAGGTCCTCTTCCCTGAAATCACCATCAATACAAATTAGTTGGATCAATAGGTGTAATTTATTCCAACCAATGTGACCACAATCTCACTACGCTTAATTACCGCGAATAAATCCAACCACAGTGTTAATGGTTAAACGGTAAGCGTGCATCTTCTATAACTAGTGTAAGTGTTTAAAAAACTCCTGACTAAAACTGGAATCTCACTTGAAAATTATTCTGACAGGCTTAATGTGAAGGATTAAATTAGTTATTGACAGCCAAAATCGGTACGTAAAAAATCAAGTTATGTTCAACGCTTTAGGTTCAACGAATTTCGTTTTTCCGAAGCAAATGTCAACTTTGCTTTCGTTTCTTTAACCATACCCGTGCTTCAGGAAAAATGCAGGCGTTTGCCAGTGGGAAAACATACTTTACAATTTTTTCAGGGCCCAAGCACTGTAAGTCCGTTTATTATATTACACTTCGATATCGTTCGAAGTCATCTTGGGCACCCAAATTATGCATTCCAGTGGAGTGAAAGTGGACGGACGCCAGGGCAAAAAAAAATCTTGACAGTACTTGAATTTAATTACTATTGCAGTATTATTTGAAGGTTAATAGGATTGGTGATCCGCAGAATCTTCACAACGCGTTTTCATTTTTATCTCGAGACAAAGAAACATACATGTACTGTACTGTCTGTACTGTACTGAGGTGCCTCTGTGATGAATTCTAATGAATGGTTGGCTGCACTGGTAGTCTTGCGACATCAGAACGTCGAAAACATTAACGCACAGGTTTCTGATTCCATTCAGGTGCATTTTCTACGTTGCCCCTGATTACGTATTATTAGAGGAACAAGGTATAAGACTTCGTCTTATCAAATATTGCTATCCTCATCATATCATGATTTCAAAGACCATGTATGATCTTGGTTGCTTCATGCTTGTATATGTCATACAAACACCATCGAAACTAACAAATGGCACGTCTTTTTAAAAAAAAACCGCCTGCAATTGAACATAGGAAATTTTATTGAAAATCTGTTTTTCTCTTCCACTGCTGAAAATGGGAAGCTGAATTTTGCGATGATATTTATTTTGTAGCGTAGAAGGAAGTGATGAGAATGCTATAATCTGTCAGTATTTTTCTTGAATCTGCTCTCTGAATTATTTACAGTTGTAAATTAAATTCTGGTGATCTTTTTACTGCAGGACATACCCAGAAGAGTGTAATGCACTTACCTGTTAAAATTGCCCAAGTCTGGTCCAGTAAAATTGCTTTACAACGAAGCCCATAGGATCAGCAAAAAATTTCGTTGTAACGAAAAATCCGGTACAGTATAAAGTAACCTTTTGACATGGTGGCTATATAGTGGTCAGGGACCTAAAAAACGACTTTGTCCTAAGCGATAATTTGTTAAAATGAGATTCGTTGTAATGAGTTTCTTTCGTATTCCAACCTTTGAAATTGATTCAAATGCAGTATTTCAACCTTTATTAATGCAATTGAAAATGTTCCCGAAAATCCATTTGATTCAGCATCAGCAGCACTGGGGTTACTCCCAACCTTGGTCCCTCTTCGTCAGATTTCCGCCATCATACTCAATTTTCCACGAGACTCCAGCAAGACGCTTTCTGTGGGACAGTATCAACAGTAGATAATGTACGAAAAAAAGAAGAGCTCTCAGTTGAGTCGCAGTTGTGGAATATTTTAATAAGAATCTAGATCAGAACGAAGGAAGCCGTCAAGAGAAGCAACGAGCCGCGGAGATGACGCGAGCCGTCGCCCGAAGAACCAGCGCAGCCGCGGTCACACTTGAGTTACGCGAACCAACAGTCCGACGAGCATATATAGCATTATTTGCTGCCGCGCATTTCATTCCGAGAAGTAAGAGCAAAAATCCCTCAAGGCTACTCCGAAAGTTTTTGTAAGCAACAAATTCATCTCTTGAAATCGCTGCTTAGAAGCTTAGGGTGGCCTTTAGGCTGCATAAAAATACCGTGGGCGTAATTTAGTCCAACAAATGTAACGACAATCTGGCCACGTTCAATTATCTTGAAGCACTGAAAACGATATTCACGTGGCCTTTAAATAAAGCAAAGCATACTGCCCTACGGGACCTCGTCCATCAAGTAATTATTAGCCCAACAAACCGGCAGATATCTGAAGAAGAAAAAAACGACTCGCAGGATGAAGTATTACTGTACACAGTGTACAGTACTGTATATGGTTCACCTTACAAATTGTATTCAAAACATAAATCATTCCCAAATATACATTATACTACTGATCCCTTACTTCCTTGCGTTTTGTCGTTTTAACAAAAGTAATTTACTTTATTTGACCGATTTTAAGGGGCTGACCAAAGAAATGAAAGCCTTTTTAATTAAATTTTATGAGAATTATTTTAGACATGCGGAGTGATTTAAAATATTTTGAATTAAAGTCAATGGAAGGTGTTATTTGACATGAAAATATTTTGACACCTGGACACAGCAGTCTGAGAAGTTACCTGGGTATCTTGGGTCCCCCTGTACAGTATAATCTTCACTGGAGAACTAGACTAAGCATTCAAACTGTAATAAATACGCAGAAACAAGGCAGGATATCCGCTTTGATTCCTAGTCGGGATGCGTGGCTTTCGGTTTCATATTTGATATTTCATTTTTGGTATGTTATACCGTCGTTACTGAACGGAAAATTTTAAATTATTTGGGAACAAATTTAGGAGCGCAAAATTCTTCCGTATGTTCTTAATCTAAAGAATCTAAACGAATGGAGCTCAAAGAGAAAGCTTTTGTTATTTTATTCGTACTCGATAAACACATATGATGATCGATGATCGAAAAAAAGTCACGAAATTTGAGATGCATGTTCCACCCAGAGAAAGGCACTCACGCGAAGTACTTTGCATTCCCTGAATGGCATCTGTTGATAAATAAACATCTCGCGATTGCGAATCGATCATTTTTGAGATGCGGAAGGAGCCAAAATTAGAATATGATATACATCCTAATTTTTTTTATCATTACGGGCGTTTGCTTAGTTAGTTTGCATTAATTTTCGCATAACAGTCCAGGCAACTCGTCGGTGCTATAGTTGCCTACCCCCCGGCTATCTGGACATCGTAATTTGGGTTAGCATACGCGTATATACCTCGAGCTGAGGAGTAAATCTTGATTCTGACTGATGATGTGTTTGCATTGGAGAAGTGCAGGGTCCAAAGAAGACAAACCCGTTTCTTACCAATGGACTTCGCAATCAGGATATGGGCACCCTGAAAATTTTCAACATTCCCTGGAATGTGTAGGATTTGGTAT